TAACCTTCTTATGCCCGACCCTTGGAATTTGTCCCGACTAGGTCCGACTTCTCTATCTGAACTATTTGGTCCCGACCAGGTCCAATCTTATCACCTGTCCGACTTTCTTAAATCCGACCCTCAGACTTTGTCCTGACTAGGTCCGATTTTGACGTCCGAACTATTTGGTCCCGACCAGGTCCAATCTCCTCATCCGTCCGACCTTGGGGATTTACCCGACCAAGTTTGATCAGACTCAAGACCCATCCGACCCGGTTACTGCAATCATAGTTGGACTTCAAAAAGCCCATTGGACGTTTCAAATGACCTAACCTTGGCAGGCCCATTTCCTAAAAACCTATCAATTATTTTGTGCTCAACAACTTGCCCCCTCCCGCCGAAACGTCACTCCTCGAACTACGGAAGACGTGACGTTTTAGGGTTACAGTGTGATCATCACACTGCGCCGCGTCAAATCAAAAGGGTTTATGTTAAACCCCAACTTCATCTTCCCAAACTTACACATTCACAATTCTAAAACCCTTTCTGCTCTCGTATAGCTCCCTCCTTCAACTTTTCCTTCTATCTTTTCCCATCCTCGCGTAAATGGCTAACCAATACGTTCCTGCACCCCCTTTCGACGGAACTGAACCCTCAATACCCCTTGTATCTTTCAAAGTTCTTACCCCTACAATCCGCCCTTACTGCACTACTACTGCGGATGCTGAGCGTATGAGCTCAGTCATTGTTCAAGTTTCTCCTATTATCGTCAACAATGAAGCGTTCAAACCGGAACGCCTTCTGGATAGCATCAAGACTCACTTGACCGATCCAAAAGATGCTTACCGGAAATGGTACGCGAGGCTCCTTCCTCATTTTGAAAACCAATGGAAAACCCAAGGGATCGATAAAGCTATCCTCCTTTCGACGCAACCCCTCTACCTCCACGACAAAGTTCTGATGGCCATGGCGGCTTTTTGGCATTCGCAAACAGGTGCCTTTTTCCTCCCTTCAGGTCCAATGGGTCCAACCCTAATGGATGTTGCAGTGATCGCGCATTTGCCGATCACAGGAGAGGACCCTGTTCTGGTTTCTCTCAGAAATCAAGAACTTCCCCCCAACCATCAAGGTTGGGCCCTGGCCAAATTGCCCGAAAGAGAAAGAGAATGGACATACTTTGTCAATAAATATCAGGGTAAAGAGGATACCCTGGTCTCCGAGTTGGAACACACTGCTTTCCTCCTCTTTTGGCTCTGCAGGTATATCTTCTTCTTTTTGGTTTCTTTTGTATGCATAAAGTTTGAATGTTTGAGCTTATATTCCTTTCTTCTTTTCTTTCACAGATATATCATTCTTTCCCCTTCTAAACTTGTCCTTTCAACTCATATTGACCTAGCCATTCATTTGGCATGTGGTCATTTCTCTTCTTTAGGTACCTTATCTTTAGCCAACCTCTTTGAAGGTTTAACCCGAGTAAGTTCCCGTCTCACGGATACTAAAAAGGCGGACACTGCAGCCTCAGGACCATTTTGGTTCCTGGAACTGTGGTTCCGTCTATACTTCCCCTCTGCATTTTTTGGTCGCCTCCCAATTTCTCCCAATCCTTATAGGTCTATTGGCTATGCCTTAGCCAGATTAACCCCGAACTCCTCTTGTCTAAAATCCTCTGATTCTATAATAACCCAAATTTTGACCGAAGATCGAAATTATTCCCGTTTTTTTGTATATACAACCTTAATGCAATATTCGACCGATCTTTTCTTCCTTTATCCTGACCCATCCTATCCTTTAACTCGCCCAGATCCTATCCCTTACCCGACCTACATTTTTTCTTGGGATGCCGCAATAAAGCCCCGATCTCTTTTTTCTAGTAGGAGGTCGGATAAGAAGAATCGTAGATCATTTTTTACCTACAATTACCAACCTCAATTTTTGTCGAGGCAATTTGGTTGCTGCTAGGGCATACCAGGACCATTAGCCAGCCCTCACCTCATATTTCAAAGCCCCGAGGGTCTGGTATTCCCGAACTCATCCTGACCTATATTTCTCAACTCACCAGCTACATCACCTCGAATTCATATCTTCCTTTCTGCCCAAAACCTTCGACAACCGAAAATTTTCCCACCTGGTGGTCGGCCACCTGGTCTTTACTTGCCCCTTCGACTGACCAACTGGTCGGGAGGCTTGCTCCACCCCCAGCTCTGGCTCTTGGCTCCCCCCGACTGGCAGTCAGAGGAAGGAAAAGGCAAGCACCTGTGGCAGGTGGGTCGGGAGGAAAAAGACAAAGAACAAAGGCCACTCCTGCTATCGATAGGCAGGCCATCAAGGAATATTTGGCTTCTCTGCCAATAGATACCAGTGGGATGCCAAAGTATCTAAGGCAACAATTTGGTAAGTTTTGTTCCTTTCCCTATGTTATTTTCATACGGCCCCTTTCTAACTCCAATATGTCTACTTCAGAAGATCCTTCAATGCTCCCGACCACTGGTCCGACCACGTCTCAACCGACCGATCAACAATCATCCGAGGCACAACTTCCCATTAATTTATCTTCGTCCCGATCAAATGCCGTCCCGGCCATAGAACAACCATCTATGGTCCGGACCACAGAACGACTAGCCATAGTCCCGATCACCACACAACCGACCCCCAGACAATCAGAGGTAAAAGATAGTTTCCGACATTCCTTAGACCAACAAAATATTAATTTTAAACAATAACTTCAAACCTTTTATTGTAGGCACATCGACTAGGCGAATCGATGGGCAGGCTACCTCCTCCCCCAGCGTCGGACATGGTTGTGGTGATGCCCGACCAACCTGTTGTCCTCCCCGACCAAGTTGCGGAACCTCAACAAGTAAGCGCTAAACCTTCTTTCAACATCGTCCTTTTGATAAAACTCCTGATACCTAAAACCTATTTGGTCCAGGCACCTATTGAAGATGTGGTATTACCCGACCCCGACCAGGTCGTGGCTTTACCCGACCCGCTTGTTCAGCAAGATGAGGTTCCTCTTGTCGGTCCCGAACCAGTCCAACCCAAACCAGTCCAACCACCCCATGATGTAGAGGAAATTTCCTCCTCAAAATCGGGTGAAGCTTCCGTTAATTTTGCCCCGCTGGATCCGGTTGGTACCCTTTCTCATTCATTTTTGGATTTTATTTTTCGCCCATCCAACGGTGCTGAAAACTTTTTTCTTCTGTTCAGGGTATGGATTTAGCAGCCCCCCAACAACTTCCACCAGGGGATGAATTAGTTGCTGGTCCGATTACCCGACCAGTCAACCCCTCAATTTTCCAACTTATGGCCCCTTCTGAGGCTATAGCTACCCTGAATCAAGTAACCTTCTGACCTTATCTCTCAAAAATTTTGCCATGTCTTTTAGCTTGCTAATCTTATTCTGGTTCAGGCTGCTCAGGAGATGAACATTTTGACCCGAATAGACCTCCCGACTCCCGTCAGAACCATTGTGGAACGATGCGCCAATTTGGATTTTGCTGACTTAGAACTGGCTGACCTTTCGGCGCTAGTCCAAGTCGCAATAACCCTATTGGTTCAACCTGCCCTGGAGTCGGGAGCTTCACCAGTTCTCGATCGGATGATGGCCAGGATCACTAAACTTCAAGCTGAACTTCCTCTGATCCGACCCCCATTATCCGAAGCGACCTCCTCCCGTCCGGCAACAGATCCTAATAATATTGAGGCAGATTTGAAGAAGGCCGACCAAGATCTCAACGTGGCTAGGGCCCGACTGGACGAGCTCCGGCAGGAGAGACATACATTAGCTACTGAAATCGCCCAAAAGACTGAAGAACTACGACGACTTCAAGAACGATTGGAAGCTATAGATGATAGCATACATGAGGGAAGTCGTTTGGTTGAAACACATTGCCTTAACCAAGCCAGTCTTTGCGAACAACTTTAGGCAGCTATTCGAACGAGACTCGTCCAGAGACACCAAGAAGCATACCAACGTCGTCGGGCCATCAAGTCAGAACTCAAATGGACCGATCTAAAAACTGCTTTACGGGCGCTTCTCTCCATGTAATTCAAATATATTGTACATTGATTCGGTTTTAACAAGTATTAATTCCTATTTCTAGAAAACAGATCCTATCTTTCCTGCGTTTTTTACTGAGTCTAATCCAACAAACACAGATCCATATTTATTGCCTATTACTAAATCACCTAACTTAGAAACCAGAATACTTATATAAACTCCGTACCTCCAACTCCAAAACATCACCATTACTTTTCATGCAATATGGTTTCTCCTCGTCTCCGTGTTCCTCTCTCAAACTGGGAAGGTGCTCTCCAACCATTCTTAGTGGGAAAGCACCCCATAGGCCACCACGCTGAAGATATGATACAGGTTCTAAAACAACTGGATTTCAAATTCAGATTCTCCGGCAGAGGCAGGAGAACCATTCATCGTACCATCCGACTGATGGAGCATATATCTACCAGCTACGAACCTTATACCGACATACTCACACGTATATCGGACCTCGACCATCATCTAGACATGATAAACCATCATGTAACCGCCATTCTCCCAGACCTTAGTTGGAACAACGATTTTTAACCACAAAGATCAATGCTCTCCAGACTGAGTGTCCTCGCTAAACGAGAGATTCAGTCTTTGCAGGACATGAAGTCCCGAACTGAGCAAAATCTTCAAGACATGCAAGACAAATGGGATCGTTACCGCTTGGATTTGGATGATCTTCTGGATGAAGAACCTGAAATGGTCTCGACCTCAGCAGTCTGGGATGACACCATTAATCTTTCCGATGATTAGAGAACCCTTTTTACCAATGGGTTCGAACCCTTTAAAGGGTCCTATGATTTTTTCTTTTTCCAAATAATCAATGACAAAGTTCCGAAAAGGCAGGGTAATAACTTTTAAGATACTTAGCATTAATATTCTCATGTACCGTTTTTCCCTCTTGATTTATGATAATAAAGGCTCCATTTCCAATTACCTTATGAATGATGAAAGGACCTTCCCAGTTGGGAGATCACTTTCCCAATTGATCTACTTTCTTATAGGTCGGCAAAATTGTCTTCCAGACCAGATCGCCTTCTGCAAAGAGCTTTGGGACCACCATTTTTCCGTAATATTTTGCCCTAATCTCACTCTGCTTAATTACTTGGTCCAATGCGTTCAATCGATCTGTATCTAACTCTTCCAATTGTTGCCACATCTTTTGTAAATACATCTCATCAACATAGGCTGTTGTACTGGTCACCCTGGGTGAAGGCACGACAAATTCTGCAGGTAATACTGCATCTTGCCCGAATGTTAATTGGTATGGAGAGAATCCAGTAGAAGTACTTCTACTGTTTCGATGAGCCCACAATGCTTGAGAAAGCAGAGTATGCCATTTCCTTGGATTCTCCTCCACCATTTTCCGGATAATGCCAATAATAATTTTATTTGCTGCTTCGGCCAATCCATTTGCCTGTGGATAATACTGTGAAGAATGGTGTAATTTGACATTGTATTCGGCCAAAAACTCAATAAACTTTTCCCCAGTAAACATCAACCCTTGATCGGTTGTGAGAGTGTGAGGAATTCCAAATCGATAGATGATATGATTGAGTACAAATTCGATCACTTCTTTCTGCGTCGCATTCTTCAAGGGAACTGCTTCTACCCATTTGGTAAAATAATCAGTCGCCACCAGAATAAAAGAATGTTGTTTCGATGAGGCCGGATGAATCTTTCCAATTACATCCAATGCCCAAGCTTTGAATGGCCAAGGTTTAACCATTTTCTGCAAATTCACTGTTGGCAAATGATGTAAAGGACCATGCTTCTGGCACTCTTGACATCCCTTGGCAAATCTGATACAATCATCAAAAATCTTCGGCCAATAGAATCCCATACGATGAATGGCCCATCGCATATTTAAACCTGCCCGATGTGCACCACACATTCCTCCATGGACCTCCTCCATTATTTTAATAGTTTCATCAGGTCCCCAACACCTCAACAAAACCCCTTCAAAGGTTCTTTTATATAAAATCCCATTAATTAGCTGAAAACGCAAAGCTTTTAAGCGAACACGAACCGGAGCAGTAGAATTTGGAGATTCCAAATATTCCATAATCCCTGTTCTCCAATCAGTCCCAGAATCGAGACTGCCAATCAACTGCTGACAAGAGCTCTGAGCCAGATTATCAGCCAACTGATTTTCCGTTCTTGGTACATGCTCAAAAACTACTTCCCCGATTCTATATAACAAGTGTAGCACTACATCTCGGTATCTACGCAAATGGGGAAAATTACACGCGTACCGTTTCAATACTTGGTTGATAACAAGTTGAGAATCCCCATAGATTAACACAGACTGCACTCCCTTAGCGATAAGTGCTTCCAGACCCAAAATTAGTGCTTCATATTCTGCGGAGTTATGTGTCATATCTTCCATTTGAAGCTGCAAAATAATTTTGCCGCCTCCTGGTCCTTCTAGTATTACTCCCGCTCCCGACTTTCCTTTCGAACAGGAACCATAAAAAAACATTTTCCAAGGGCTGGTGCCAATATATGGCATTATTTTGTTTTCTGATGATCCATCGCTTGTAAACTCAACCAACAAATCAGCCACAACTTGCCCTTTCACAGCCTTGAGAGGTCGATGGCGTAGTGCAAAAGGAGCCAGCTTAATAGCCCATTTCATTAATCTACCGTGCATGGTTGGTCTGTGCAACATTAGTCTGACCAAATCCATTTTAGAAACCACTTCGGTTTCTCTTGGCAGAATATAATGTTCCAACCGAGTGCAGGCAAAGACCAAAGAATAACACATTTTTTCGGGCATAGTGTAATTCAACTCAGGTCCTGCTAAAGTTTTGCTTAGATAATAAATGGCTCTTTCCTTACCATCTTCCCATTCTTGTACCAAGAGACTGCTTACCACATCAAAACTGTTCGCCAAATATAACCGAAGAGGTTGGTCGCCTCTTGAAGGGACCAACACAGGCGGGTTAACCAATGCCTCATTGATTTCCTCCAATGCCTTATGTTGGTCCCGACCCCAAGAAAAATTGGTAGCCTTGTTCCGTAATAATTTTGTGCTGGTTTTAATTTCCCCGCAGCGTTTGATATAAAACGCCTTAGGTAATTTACCTTTCCCAAAAAACTTTGTACCTCTTTGACCGACTGAGGCGATCGCATCGTTAGAACAGCTTTGGCTTTGTTCGCGTCAATCTATATTCCCTTTTCATGTACTAAGAACCCCAAGAAATTCCCCGCCGAAACTCCAAAGGCACATTTCGTTGGGTTCATTTTCAGGTTGTACTGCTTCATCCGAATAAAAGCATTTTTTAAATCAACCAAATGTGAATCAAAGTCGGTAGACTTAATGATCACATCATCAATATATACCTCCATTGACCGCCCAATAAGATCATGAAAGATAGTGTTCATAGCCCGTTGGTAGGTCGCCCCTGCATTCTTTAAACCGAATGGCATAACTGTCCATTCATAAATTCCCAACGCTCCTGGGCACCTAAATGCAGTTTTGGGTATATCTTCTTCTGCTAATGAAATTTGATTATACCCTACATATCCGTCCATTAAACTCAAAATCCGGTGTCCCGCCGCAGAATCGATCAACATGTCTGCTATTGGCATGACATATTCATCTTTTGGAGTGGCGAGATTGAGATCTCTGAAGTCGATGCAAATTCGGATCTTTCCATTTTTTTTGGTTACCGGAACGATATTAGCTAACCATTCCGCATATCGACATGGACGAATGAAACCAACCTTTAGTAGCTTCTCAATTTCTTCTTTGATCTGGGGCATCAATTCTGGACTCACCCTCCTTGGTGGTTGCTTGTAAGGTTTAAACCCCTTTTTAATAGGCAACCTATGTTCTATTAAATTGCACGCTAATCCGGGCATTTCGGAATAATCCCATGCCAGACATTCCTTGTGATCTCGAATTAGCGCTACCATTTGCTTTTGTTGACTTTTTGTCAGTAAACCACTTACCCTGACCATCTTGGGTATCTGTTTGGTTCCCACATTATATTCAATGAGGGGGTCCTGACTTGACAGAGAAGTTTCTGTCTTTTTCAGGAGATCAGGCCAGCGAAAACCTTCTTCTTTGCCAACATTATTGTTGGAAATTTTACTATTATGTAATCTAACCATTAATTGGTTTAAATAAAACTGTCTAATCAGTTTATCACATTTATTTATTTCTTCCATAAATTAACTTCAAGTAAAAGTTTATTTTGGCTAACAACAGAGCCGTAAAAACAGAAAATTGTTTCTAATGAAACATGCAACCCTGCGTAGTGAGCTTACAACCCTTTCAGGGATACTCATCTACCATGGTTGTCCGTGAAATAGGTGGTATGTATTTCGTATAAAGAACCGATTCTTCCACTCCTTCTGTAGAGCCGAACGGATTCGTACTGGCTTCCATGGTGAAAACCTGATCTTCTTCCCAAAACATAATTTGTTGATGGAGAGAAGAAGGCACACATTTGGAAGCGTGAATCCAATCTCGCCCCAACAAAACTGAGTAGGTAGTATTGGCATCCACAACAAAAAACACAGTCGAAATCACCTTCGGTCCAACCTCAATGGGCGCCACCATCATCCCTTCTGGCTTGGTCGGTTGTCCTATGAAGCTTGTCATCTCGATGTCTACCGGAGATAAATCACCAATCTCTTTACCCAATTTTCTTAAATTTTTGAGGGGCATGACATTAAAAACAGCCCCATTATCGATAAAAACCTTGTTAACCGGATTACCACATATGTGAGCGTTAACATAGAGTGGTTTTAAATGCGGGATTGCCCCTTCTGGTATAGGTGGAAAAACCATAGGTGGGGGTCTGCCAACCATTGCTGCCCATTCTGGTTCTTCCTCCTCCTCGAACTTAGCCCAAATGGGTTCTTCTTCAACGAACCAATGCATATCCGTCATCCTGACCTCGAATCCTGCTTTATCAAGTTTTACTATCTTGCTGCGCAAAACTTTCGTCTCTTCTGGGGCAAATGATCCGAGAATAATCTCGGGGGTCTCTTCCTTTGCAATTTCTATTTCAGGATCAATATTGATCCGTTTGCAGAATTGAAATCGAAAACATCTGGCCTTCTTGATCGGCTTGCTGCTCTCCCCTTGCTCCTCTGTTTCGTTATTCACGTCCTTCCTTTTAGGTGATGATTCTTTCTTCTCCTTGCCCTTATCTGTTCGCTTTCCATGCCGTGCTGCATACCTGCATTTAGCATTACGGATTTGTGTGCGATTCATACCTGGAAATCGAGGGTCTATGTCTATTGGCAGAGGCTTTCTGTTTCGGCTCCATTTCTCTTGGACCGGATGTGGTTTGCGTGTTGGTTGGTCCCGTACCATGACTTTATCTTTCAATTCTACCTTGAACGACCCGTCTCCTCTGTCCCATTTCTCTGCCACTCTAGTTTCACAAAATTTGAACTTCACTTCCTGATTGGATTCTCGTTCTTTAGGTTTGCGTTCTTTTCGTCCGGTGTCTTCTTCATCATCACTTTGCACAACTTGTGAAGACCGCAAAGAGATCATTGCAGTAGTTACTTTTGGAAAGGGCTGATGCTCTACTCCCATTGTTACATATTTGAATCTCTCTGCTTTGATAGCCTTCTGTATTTCCTTTCGGAAATGTGTGCATTGATTAGTGTAATGAGTAAAGGAATTATGCCACTTACAGTATGGCCTTCCCTTTATTTCCTCCTTCGTTGCCAAACTTTGTCTTTTAGGAATACGAATCTGCCCATCTGCCAATAGAATATCGAAGATCTCGTCGGCCTTGGATACATCGAAAGTCGGCTGCTCCCTCTCCTCTGTTCCTGGCAATGGCTTTAGTTTCGAGCATACGTACGGTTTGCCATTCACAATTTCGGCTGCCATCTCTTCAAGAATATTTCCTTCTTCTGGCGAATAAATCTCTGTATCAACACTAGCCATTTGCTGTACCCTGTTTCGACGAAAGTTGTGATCTTTTTCTCTGAACAAAGATTCTAATCTCCCTGCTTTGGAGGCCAAACTAGCCAAGTCCTGAACATCATGGGCTGTCAATGCCTCCCGAAGTCTGGAATGCATGTTTCTGACCACCAAATTGGTCATTTCACTTTCTTCGATGATTGTCGGGCATCTGCCTTTCATGAGTCGTATCCGTTCAATAAACTGATACGCGGTCTCTTCTGGCATCTGTCTGATCTCTAAAAGATCTGTGAGTGAGACTGTCAGGAGAGGATTAAAAAATCTTGCATGGAATGCTGCCTCCAGGCTTTCCCAGGTTTGCAACTGCCCGGGTGGCAAGTTTGCAAACCATGAAAAAGCGGTCCTTGTAAGTGATAACCCGAACAATTGTAGTTTATAGAAAGAATTATTGCCTACTTCCCCTAATTGGGCCGTGAAACGTCCCACATGTTCTATAGTTGATGCCCCATCTTCTCCAGAAAACGAATGAAAATCGGGTGGTCTGTAATTCCTTGGAAGCGGATGTTCGTTGATGATTCTTTCTGGAAATGGTCTTTGGTACGCAGGTCTGTTGACCGTCTGGGGGTTCATTCCAAAATGTACCCTTAAAACCTGAGCAATGTCCTCTGGGTCTACTCTGGGTGGGACAGGATCCAATACCTGAATAGGATTGTGAGCCTGGCCTCCCAATCTGTCCCCTCTGAGATTGGTAGGCTCGGTCCTACCACCCAACGGAATGTTATTCGGGTATGTAAGAGGAGTCTTTCCTCTGTCAACCCTTGGGGCGGTAACACTTGGAAAAGTGCTGTCCACATATGAAGGCCCCGCAAAATTTGTCTGTAACCTGGATGGTGATAGTTCTGGTGGCGTCTGGACGGGTTGCAAAGTAACCCTTGATAACGCCTGATTTAGCGTATTTTGCATAAGATTTTGTTGTTCGCGCAACATTTGTTGCTCGTGCAACATATTCTGCATGGCCAAATTATGCTGGTTGTTCAATTGCTGAACATAAGAAACCCAGTCAGCGGGTGTTTGTGGCATTTCTCTTGTATTTGGTATGACAGGTGGTGGAACCGTTTCTCCCACCGGTGCCGAAGATGATTGAGGCTGTGAGCCTGCCATGTGGATCCTTCCGACGATTCAGCCGGATCTCAATCGTATGAAACTCTCCGTTGACGTAGGATCAACAATCTTGCCTCGACTCCTACTGTGGTCGCCAAATTGTTGATGTGTTTTTTTCAACAATAAAAAGTAAAATTCGAAAATAGAGAAATATTCCCGAATTTGATAGATGAATGTCTGAAATTAGAAACTTCTAGACACTGTAGAATGAAATAAGAATAAAATAAATGCTGGAAAATAAAGTGGTGATCCCCAAAAGCGATTTCCTTGAATTTGATGTCGATTGAAGATGCCCTCTCTATACCGTACAGAATCTTTAAATAACCCCTTGAAGATACTGTTCGAACCGCTATCCGGTCGGTTACGATAACCGCTGTTAACTTCCCAAAAAATTCTCTTCTATCGACACGTATGAGAACCGTCCTATCACGTCCGACTTAAAAACCGCTCACCAATCGAAATTACCCCCCACTACCAGAAAACTGCATTTTACCCGACCTATAGGATAACTACTTTTAATACCTAACATTTGAACTTGGTCCGACTTCAATATCTAACCTTCTTATGCCCGACCCTTGGAATTTGTCCCGACTAGG